TTTGGAATACAATGACATGTGTCAACCAAGTCAGCGAGCCGGACCACCCGATCCCGTTAGTCGCCTCTTACGACAAGCATGGGCTGCTGAAGGCTAATTCTAACCCGGATCTTCACGAGTCCATTAAATAAGTACTCGGCGCTTTGCCATTACAACAAATATGTGCATCCAAGGCATGTCTATTTCTTGTGTTGTTCCAATTGCTATCCTAATTAGTCATGTTTGTAGCTAGAAATAACAACTTAATGTCTGGTAATTATCATCATGCATCCACTGCATGCAGCAGGTTCATATAAAATACCAACTGGTGCGAACAGCTTCAACCTTGGTAGATTATCTATTGCCACATATTAATACACTTACCACAAGTCATTGGCACTTAACCACGCATTACAAGGAAATATGACACTTTCGTCGACATACCACGAGTGAGTGAGTTTAGTTTTACGCCGCGTTTAACAACATTCCAGCAACATCACGGCGGGGGACACCAGAAATGGGGTCCACACATTATTTGTACCAATGTGGGGAAGCTAACCATGGTGTTCGGCGTGATTAGCGAACGCTTTGACCACTAGGCTACCCCGCCGCCCCACATACAGGTACAGTTGGTGAACCTACATACGTAAACAAACAAATCACAGTTTGTTTGTTTGTTTGTTGTTTAACGCCGCACTCAGCAATATTCAGCTATATGGCGGCAGTTTGTAAATAATAACGTCTGGGCCAGACAATCCGGTGATCTACAGCATGAACAGTGATCTACGCAACTGGGATACGATGACATGTGTCATCGAAGTCAGGGAACCTGACCACCCGATCCCGTTAGTCTCCTCTTACAAGCATGGGTTACTGCAGTCCAATACAAAAAATTCTCAAAGCTGTAAACCGCACCACGAATAGGGACGGGTCCCGCCATCACTGCCGACGTGTTTGTTGAATATGTACGTCTCCGTTCCACATGTTTACAGAGCGGTGGCACATTCTGGTTAATAAGTCCGCGATTATTGGCTACATTGTCCCCAGCACGTGTCCAGATTGTTTGTGTTGGTGTACATGGCTTTTATCGCTGCTGCGCTTGATACAAATCTCGAATAATGCCCATCGCGCACGTTGTTGTTTCAGCATCCCCCGACAAGCCTAATTTACCCATGATTCTTTAAATATTTAGACATCTCCCTGTTGAAGAGGATTTAATGTGAATTCACCTGCCAAGGTATGGTTTAACTTGCGCCTTACGAGATCGCTCACGAACGAAATTTGACGATGGGCTGATTTGTTCAAGTAGCAATCTTTACGCTACAAGAGCACCCTTGTCGGACGCACACCTGTCTGGAAGAAACAATACTTCAAGGAACCGAACGGACAATGTTACCCAGGTCTGAAGAAGATTACGGAGGTACTGAATCTCGCCTTGCTGCACATTCAGACCGTTTGATAGTTTCAAAGCGATAAGAAATATTTCAAAACGAGAAAAACAGAAGGCGTGAAGAAAGGTTTCATCGAAACCTGATACCCGAGCTTGTGCTTTACCCGGACAAGTTCCTGATGCTGAGGTCTTGGGGGAGTTTTGGGGGAGTGCAGTGCCATACGGTTGAGCTCCTGCTGGGTCGAGGGTCCGCCCTCCCCCATCACACCCCTCCCCCACTCAAAGATTACCAAGTCCTGGGGTCAAACTTCGTGCATAGGCATCGCTGAAAAGCGAATGATATTTGAATTTTCTTTCTCTCACAAGCTGCGGCAAACTTCCATCTAACGTTCTTCTCAATGTATTTGGTGTTCTTCGGTTGTAAACGTCTGTGAAGGTTTACATGAAGTGTCGTGTTTGACCTGGATGTTTTTTTAATGTGAGTTATGAGAGGAGAAAATAATTACACTAATAACGGAGGTGTTGGGAGCTAGCGTTTCTGGTTTGTTCCACATCTGGTAGACTATGGTGTTTGGGATGAGTGTTGTCGGAAGAAACGAACACGACTTAATTAACTTGGCTGATGTTTTATCGTTTTAGTTTCAGGTTTGAACACAAAGACGCTCATGCAGGATTATTTTAGCTCGGGATTTGTTTTGCAAATTAAACGATACCTGACACGGGCTTGTTGAAAAGCAAAGCGGGATTTTGTGAATACTGCCTTTGTCTTTCTGACATGAGTAGGGAGCGTCTTAGTCAACGTCGTAGGTATTTTAACTACCTCTGAACTACTGGAACTCTCCTATCATAGATGCACCTAGTCGGTCTCACAGTCCCTGAACCACATTATTTTCCCTACTGCCTAGCCTTCCATGCAATGCTAAAAGCCTAGTCTGTCATACAGACCCTGAAGCAAATATATCCAAAAAAGCCCACGCAAGTCTAGAAAATGTGGCAAGTCTAGATTTCCACAGCTTCAGGGTCTCTGAAAATGAAGAAAGCCTCAGGGCTCCTTTTCATTATATTTATAAAATATGTTCATTTCAGAGACTAGTTGTTAGTCTTTCCTGAAGCCAAATGAGGCAAGATTAGATTTCCCCAGGCCTGAATCTCACAACTCATTGGGGCTCCTTTTCAGATTAAATGGGTTTATTTGTTACTATCAAACATATATATTCAGGGACTAAGCGTTAGTCTATGGTGCACCACATAACTCCAAGTCTTTCTTAATTTTAGCTCGAATCTTTAGACTACTCTCACCATCACTATGGATTAACCATGGCGATTGAAATGGCAGTCTCGTCACAGTGTCAAGACCAAAATAAACAGGAGCTATTTTAAATATAAACACAACTAGTACCACTTCTCCGCCACGATTGAGTAAAATGGCCTTTACGTCACAACTGTAGAGTCGGTTAGCTTAATCAGAGACCATATACCGATATATGGTCTCTGGCTTAATCAAGAACACCACCAACAGCCACGATCTGCCTGGCCAGTCTTGAACACCGGCAGAAATGCATCCATTTTGATAAGCGGGTCGCTTCTGTTCGAACAAAAGCTGTAGACACTGGCTCAAAGTAACTATAGCGTATGGAAAGACGTTTAATTCTGACGATTTACTGTCTGCCGACGTCCCCTGCTACTCCGACATGAAAGTCATCAACAACGGAGACTGCATTGCTCTCCCGGCGATCTTGATATACTATGGCTGAATTTCCCGACGCAATAGAAGAGAAACAGTAGACAATCGAAACAATATCAGACACTCAACTAATTTATTCATTGCTTCGAGGATAAACAACTTCGAAATTTGGATAGGATAGTGGATAGTGAAGATGAAGGCGTGAACGTTTTGCAAAAGAATAATCCGCATTATTTATATTGAAATATCTCCTCTTTCGAAATGCAGAGTTATAAAGATGGAACCCAGTTTTATGTTAGGCAAAATGCGTCTGTCAAATAGAGCGTCACAACATTCATCAGAACTGCAATCGCTATGATATGTAGACGGGGGGCCAGTTTGTAAGACAGTTACAACTTCTAGACTTCAGCGGTCATCATGACTACATTCGCTATTGACTGCGGACGGGAGCCCAGTTTACAGTCTATCAAACAGAACGTCAAGACTTCTAAACTCTTCACCAGACGTCATCTGAACCTCAATCGCCACGTCCGTAGACGGGTCCGGAACCCAGTGGTTACGAGACCAGTCTCTCAATTAGAACGAATTTCCAAACTCTTGACCAGAATTCATCATAAGTACAATCGCTATTGCCAACAAGTGGGCACAATTAAAGAAACAGGAAAAACGTAATAATGGCCACTTGTGTCCGGCTGTAAGGTGAGATATATCGGCGTTCTGTTTGCTTATTGTGCAAAGCCCTCGTCCTTCCACAACAAGATATTCACGGGCGTTTTCCTACTCGGGTCCCGAGACCCTCAAGACAATGAGACTCGGGATAAATGCTGTAACTGGGACGGAAAGAGAATTCACACTGAAGTCAAAATAGAATATACTTCACTGAGAAAAGTAGCTCTGTGTTCTCGTGGAGGATGGAACGACTCCTTAGTCCGACTGATGCATAAAATTTATGTGATGGTACCGTCATTGAGATGATTGCCTTTGTACATTGATAAATTAATGGCATCAGACGCGCGGGACCAGTTCGGAGAGTCCCTTTAAATCAGGCAATATTAACATTTATAAAGAGTGGGAAAACAGCAACATAAAATCCATTGCAAACGTCCAGAATGTGATTTCAATGAAAATAGATGTCTCTGAAGACAGCTCTTAGTTATTATCATTAGTCATCGCAGACAGCGCAGACAGATTTGGCAGGGGGGGTCCGACTCCTCGGGGAGGGCAGATGATTATCAGGAATGGGATGCAGATCCTATGAATGAATATGATGTATGAGCGTCAGTGGGCAACAACGCTAGCATGTGTAATTGGATATCTTCACAGGAAGCCTTGAACACTGAAACATTATACTTAAGGGTGAGGAAGCGACTATGGCGTAATAGTGAGGAGGGTCGACGAAGTCGCGTTATAACGAAACATGGGCGGTGTACCACGACCCAGCGGCATACGTTCTCGTGACTCTTTGCTCAAGGGTGCACCTCTTGCCGATTCAGAACAGCTCCTCTGAAACTGATGCTACTAAAATATGAAACGACCCCCTTCCCCTTCTCACCAACGCAACGCCGATCGCGGGCTGATTCACCTCTGATAATTGCAGCTGTTATGTTAACCTCTGTACGAGCTACTGTTATCATTATTATAATTCGCTGAGTGAAAGCTTTCAGTGATTCTGGTTTTCAGACAATCTGTATGTTGTCCGGACGAATAGACTAGGCGACAAAATGATTTTGAACCTCATAGCGGTAAATATTTTATGATAATTCTTGAAGCGATGAACAAGGCTAATTATTCAACCAATTGCTCAGAGTCGCTTCATCTGCTGAAGCAATTTTGCAATTTGACAAGTAATAGGAGCATCTTCTAATAACAACATTACTGCAGACGATCAGCGTGTAAAGTAGCAGACGAGAACGTGTCGTCTGCTCAACCAGTTCATTTAAAACCCACCTTCGGCTACTGCGTCTGCTTGTGTGTCGTCTTCGGTCGAATCGGGTTTGGTAGCTGGTTCCACCTTGTGCTCAAAACTGACTGTCTCCGTCTCATCGACGACAATCGGAGCCTGGGTCGTGTGCATATCGTTCACCTCGTCATCCATGGTGGTAATCCGGTGTACTGATCCTCAGCCAAGCTTTAATACTGAGTATAGGGCCAGCGAGCCAGCGCGGCCGACAGGGGCAAACTCAACAAGTAAACCAAACACAGCAGAGACGCTCCACGTGCCTTGTTGTAAACATCCGCGTCACGTGACGATCAATAAGTCAAGACCTGAATAGAATCGCTATATCCCACAATGGACATTCAAAGGAACAAGTGTCAGAAAACTAAACACGAAGCTTCCAAGAAAAAACTCCAGCTATCAGGATGCGCGGTCAAGACAAAATGAGGGGGATTCTGCTTCGCGCGAGACGTTATCATAATACAGCCTTATGCTTGGTAGAGTCGGGTTTGGAAGACAGCTGTTGCAGCGACAGAAGCCGCTCACCATTGATCGAAACTTATCCTCAACAGCTACAAGCTTCATCATATTGAATCAAGCCCAGTTAATTTACAGCATTATTCATAGGTTTACAACCATGCACAGGAGTTCGGCTAAGGGTGTAACAAATCCATTGCTCGGTGTGTCGTCGCTCTCCCGAGGAAGGATTTCAGTGAAGAAATAATTGCCCAACATCAAAATTAATTCACGGGCTAGGTAGTTACGTCGATAATGTGAATAAGTCGGTGAATGGCTTATTCACCTACAAATACAACGCTTGACATACATTTGGTGTGGGGTAGCCTAGTGGTTAAGGCGTTCGCTCGTCACGCCGAAGACCCAGGTTCGATTCCCCACATGGGCATAATGTGTGAAGTCCATTTCTGGTGTCCCCCGCCGTGATATTGCTGGAATATTGCTAAAAGCGGCGTAAAACTAAACTCACTCACTACAATTGGTGCTGTGGTTGTCACGTGGAAGTTTTTAAGAAGCACGTTAAGAGGTATCACAACGGTGCCTGGCGACATAACTGCCTCCGGACGGTGGTCAGCGTTGTTGATATACACGTGCTGACCATAAATAAGGAAAGAAATGGCTAGCAGTCTCAGCTGTTTTCGGAGTTCCGCTCGCCAGGCAGCTCTCAATTGTCAACTTTCGGGGGACGAGAACAGCAATGAAACAACGATTAAACCTGATTTTAGATCATCTCTACTTATTACAGCAATTACACATTGCTGGATGTACATCGGATTAATGCATGTGAGCATGCACGAGGCCACCCTGAGTGTACTCACTATAATGCTGTACGACGATCGTTACACACAAATAAGAATGTATGAATGTTGCTAGACGCCGGAATCAGCTATATTTCAGCTGTATGACGGTGGGATGTCAATGATCCCGTGATCGATGTTATGTGGACGAGTCTGTCAACCAAGTCCTTAACGTCACCACATACAACCAGCATAGGTTGCCTGCGACCTAAATGTTAATCTTGAATCCCCACAGTAGGACCAGCACAGGTTGCTGGGGATCTATTCTATCCCAGAATCCCCATAGTAGGACCAGCACAGGTTGCTGGGGACCTATTCTATCGCTGAATCCCCACAGTTTGACCAGCACAGGTTGCTGGGGACCTATTCTAACCCTGAATCCCTACAGTAGGACCAGCACATGTTGCTGGGGACCTATTCTAACCCTGAATCCCCACAGTAGGACCAGCACAGGTTGCTGGGGCCTATTCTAACCTTGAATCCCCACAGTTGGACCAGCACAGGGTACTGGGGACCTATTCTAACCCTGAATCCCCACAGTAGGACCAGCACAGGTTGCTGTGGACCTATTCTAACCTTGAATCCCCACAGTAGGACCAGCACAGGTTGCTGGGGACCTATTCTAACCTTGAATCCCCACAGTTGGACCAGCACAGGTTGCTGGGGACCTATTCTAACCCTGAATCCCCACAGTTGGACCAGCACAGGGTACTGGGGACCTATTCTAACCTTGAATCCCCACAGTTGGACCAGCACAGGTTGCTGGGGACCTATTCTAACCCTGAATCCCCACAGTAGGACCAGCACAGGTTACTGGGGACCTATTCTAACCCTGAATCCCCACAGTAGGACCAGTACATGTTGCTGGGGACCTATTCTATCCCTGAATCCCCACAGCAGGACCAGCACAGGTTGCTGGGGACCTATTCTAACCAGGTGGTCTAAGTTGGAGTTGGTTTAACGCTCGAGTGTGTGTGTGTGTGTGTGTGTGTGTGTGTGTGTGTGTGTGTGTGTGTGTGTGTGTGGGGGAGGGTGGAGAGTTTAATTAAGTCACCCCCGTCGTTTCGTTACAAAGATAGTATATGTTCACCTGTCTGTGGTAGATCAGTGCGTGCGTGCGTGCGTGTGGTAATCAAGATACCCCTACATCCTTGTAACGGCAAGATGAGGACATATTACAGTGCCCACAACCACTAGATATTTTCAGAAATCAGATAGATTTATTTGATATCATATTACCCCATATACTTCGACATTTCACAGTAATTAGCTGTTTAGTTCAGAACTAAAGGACTTATCAAACAGGATCCCATTTAACGCCATATAAATACTGGCATAAACCGCAGATCCGAACTCACATCATGGCAACCAGCCAATGATAATTCTGAGTGACAAGCCCCCTGCCCTCCTCGTAACCGTTTATCGTTGTTGGTAAGGACTTCTATATCTCTACACCATTCAATACACTTCATGTAGCAATGTGTTCCCATCGATTTAACCTGTACACGGGTCAAACTACTCCCACAAACTACACCCATGCTTCGCCGAGCACCCTCTTTGCTAACACGGTTTAATGGCCCAATCTAACTTAGACGAAGCCATTACAACATCATTAGAAGTCAATAATAAGTTTCACTTTTAACATTACGAGGACTTATTAGAGCGAGGAGACCCTCAACCATCCATCAAAGAGAAATAGTGCACAATGTTTCGATAGCGCCCTCTTCTGCATGGCGAGTCTTTACTGACTCCAGACACGGATTAGTATGAAAAAGTACAAGCTTCTGTTCTGTGTTTCGTTGAGTAGAGTAATTAATATCAACACAGAGACCGAGCAAGTCTATTGTGAGACATCTAAGAGTAGATTAACAGCAGACACGATCTTGCTTCATACACCCTAGTCTGTCTCACAGTCCTTGAACCACATTATTTTCCCTATTGCCTAGCCCTCCCTGCAATGTTAAAGCCCTAAATAAAGCAAGTCTAGATTTCCCCAGGTCTCCCAAATCACTGGGGCTCCTTTTCAATTTAAATGGGTTTATTTGTTTCAAGTCAAAATTATTTATATTCAGGGACTAAGCGTTTGTCTTCATATGCCCTGGCTTGCTGAAAGTTCGTGCTCTTATGAGACAAGGCTGGGGATAGTCTTTGTCTTCGAAATTCGAGGCATGTCCTCTATTCCTGGAATGTTACGAATGCAATAATTATCTTAAGAAATATTGTCTGATGTTTCACTATTAGTTTTAGCTCCTGTTTATGTCTTTGTGCAGTGCACTTCATATCAATATAGAGAAATTGCCAAGTCTAAGGGAAGATTAAGAGAAGTGCATTGGCTCATGTCAAAGTTTGTTTCGTTGAGTAGTGCGTTGGCTACTGTCCAAGTATGTTTCGTTGAGTAGTCCACGGGTTCTTGCTCCAAGTTTGTTTCGTTGAGTAGTGCATTGGCTGCTGCTGTCCATGTTTGTTTCGTTGAGTAGTGCACAGGTTCTTGTTCCATGTGTGTTTCATTGTTTAGAGCACTTGATATCAATATAGAGACTTGCCAAGTCTATTGTCAGACATCTAAGAGTAGATTAACTTCCAACCAAACGAGTGACTTACAATCCGGTCATTCGAACGTCGGGGATCAGAGGAAGATATCCCCAATGCTGAAGCCGCAGACGGGGAACATTCCTAGACTTGGGAGACAAACAAGCTTACTGTTAAAGAGAGTCATGTATTGATCCGAATACAGAGTCCTTTCATGAATACAACAAGGACTCAAAGTGTTTTCTGAAGCTGAGATTTACAATGAATATTTCAAAAAGGGTCTCAACAACCTCAAATGTAATCAAAAACCGTCGAGTCGAACTTTGAGTTGTGTCGAAGTAAAGACTTGATTCCTGTGGATTCCATAATTAGTCATTATCAGGTTGTGTCGAACTTTGGGTTGTGTCGAAGTAAATGCTTGGATCCTGTGGATTCCATAATTAGTCATTATCAGGTTATGTCGAACTTTGGGTTGTGTCGGAGTAAATGCTTGGATCCTGTGGATTCCATAATTAGTCACTATCAGGTTGAGTCGAACTTTGGGTTGTGTCGAAGTAAATGCTTGGATCCTGTGGATTCCATAATAAGTCATTATCAGGTTGTGTCGAACTTTGGGTTGTGTCGAAGTAAATGCTTGGATCCTGTGGATTCCATAATTAGTCATTATCAGGTTGTGTCGAACTTTGGGTTGTGTCGAAGTAAATGCTTGGATCCTGTGGATTCCATAATTAGTCACTATCAGGTTTTGTCGAACTTTGGGTTGTGTCGGAGTAAATGCTTGGATCCTGTGGATTCCATAATTAGTCATTATCAGGTTGTGTCGAACTTTGGGTTGTGTCGGAGTAAATGCTTGGATCCTGTGGATTCCATAATTAGTCATTATCAGGTTGTGTCGAACTTTGGGTTGTGTCGAAGTAAATGCCTGGATCCTGTGGATTCCATAATTAGTCATTATCAGGTTGTGTCGAACTTTGGGTTGTGTCGAAGTAAATGCTTGGATCCTGTGGATTCCATAATAAGTCAGTTTCAGGTTGTGTCGAACTTTGGGTTGTGTCGGAGTAAATGCTTGGATCCTGTGGATTCCATAATTAGTCATTATCAGGTTGTGTCGAACTTTGGGTTGTGTCGAAGTACATGCTTGGATCCTGTGGATTCCATAATTAGTCATTATCAGGTTGTGTCGAACTTTGGGTTGTGTCAAAGTAAATGCTTGGATCCTGTGGATTCCATAATTAGTCATTTTTGTTGTTGTATCGAATCTCGGATAACTCGAAGTATTTAAGTAGACTCAGCTTCGTCACAACGACGTTAGACTGGAGAAACATGAAGAGACGAAGTGCATTAGTGTGCAGTAGCACTATATATTTTGCTAAAATCAGGTAATATTCCGGAGGGTTTTAAGGGAGGACTATCTTGGGGATTGGTTGGTCACAATGGCCGATTAGTGTCCGCTTTCGTCCATATCTCAGCATATTTCGATGCTTGTCTCTGGTGGCAAACCCTTAAAATTGCACAGGATGTGTAAGTCGCAGATGTTGG